CCTTCGAAGTTTCTAACATTGTTCATAATAATATCCCGAGCCTGCATTTTCTGGATGTCTGCCTCCCCAGCTAGAATAAGATCCATAGGACGGAGCCTGTATCCAGTTATTGTCATACCGCCGTGGCAGCTCACACACACAAGGCCTATGCAAGTCCAGGTGCTGAGTAGCGTCATCCATCCTTGGGACCATCCCAGCCGGTCGGTACATATCTGATGACTAAGTGACTGAACGAACAAGCTACGTGTGGGATTGTCAGCCAGCTGCTTCACCGTGCCAGACCATCATGTCCTCGTCTTTCACATGAGTATTTTGAGTTCATTTTCTCTGAGGTCATGTCTGGGTTATAATTTTTCTGATGAAAACTCTTTTTGTTTTAGTGGCTGCTATTAAAGGAGAAGCCAAGAAGGAAAAGGTCACAACCTTCCTACCGACAACAGGTAAATGGGCAGGTGCTTCTCCCAGCTCACTCTGTCTTGGGCAAATTCCTTGGCTTCTCGGAGCCTCAGTTTCTCCATCTGTAAAATGGGGATTGTGTCTATAGCTCAAGCTCTAACAGTCACAGGTACAGTTTCTATGAGTTGCTCATTGCTTTACGGTTCAGGGAACTCCTGGATTCTCCTGATCTTATTAAACCCACAAAGATCTTGACATTCTATGAGCGATGGAAGATTTCACAATGGGAGGTATTGTCATATGCCGCCATCATCGCCTTTGAAATAAGTCCATCTTTCTTTGCAGTTTTTTTTTTTCTTTTTTCTTTTTTGGCATCTGGGCAAGATGGTGAGTGCATTCCAACATCAAGCACACTTCCGGGCCAGGGCCCGGGTTTCTGTTTCTCGCCTTTTGCTAAATGCACGGGGTAAATGTTTTGTATGCTTTTGCTTTGGGGGAGTGAGATGGGGATTACTCTTTCTTTTTGAAATTTCACTTACTTTTAATTAGCACATTCATATGAGTCAAAATGCAAATGGTGCCAAGTGTGTAAAGTTGAAATGCTCTCCCAGCCCACCAGAGGACACCGTTTATAATGATTTCTTGTGTTAATTTTCTTTTCTTTTCTTTTTAAAAAAATGTTTATTGTTGACAGTATTACTGTCTCCCATTTTCTACCTTTTTGCTCCCCTCCACCCAGCCCAGCCCCACCCCAGGCCTTCCCCATGCTATTGTCTGTGTCCAGGGGTTATGCATATAGTATACACTAGAGGCCTGATGCACGAAAATTCATGCGAGAGTAGGCCGTTCTTTTCCCCGGCTACGGGCACCGGCTTCCCTCCAGCACTGGTGATCCAGGCTGCTTCGCTCCGGCCATTGGCCAGCACTCGGGACCCAGGGGGCTTTGCTCCAGCCCTGGCTTCATCGGGAAGGACATCTGGTCTAATTAGCATATTACCCTTTTATTATTATAGATGTTCTTTGGTTAATCTCTTCCTGTCCCCTCTCCCTACTTCCTGCCACTGAGATTTGTTACTGTTTCATGCATCCATACCTCTGGATAGATTCTGTTCGTCGGTTTATTTTGTTCCTTAGATGCCAGTTATAAGTGAGATCATGTGATACTGGTCTTTCTCTGACTGGCTTATTTCGCTTAGCATGATAGCCTCCAGGTCCCTCCAGGGCCCAGAGGGTAAGAGAGCCTTCTTTTCTACAGCTAAGCAGATAATTTCCAATAAACATGTCCCCTGTTTGAGCCTCCAGTTTCCTTCTCTTTAAATGGTAACAACAATTCTGCTGTCCAATTAATAAAAGGATAAAAGGTGATAGAAATACTAAGCCAATGCCTTCTATTTTAAAGTTACTAGAATGTTGGCCTTTTGGTGTAAAGAGAGAGCACTCGTTGCTGATGGTCTGTCTAAAAAATGGTTTTGAAAAAGGCTGTGGAGTAGCATCCTATTCAGAAACCCCTGCTTTAGGCAGTTCAAGTCACACTGCAAATATTGTTATCAAAACCCACCCAAGGGTTTGTCATTGTAAAAAGGGGGTGGTGGAAATAATTTTTTTCTGGGAAAGCAGTGGTGTTTCAGTAAAGTTCTTGGTCCCAGCCAGCGTGGCTCAGTGGTTGAGCATCAACCTATGAGCCAGAGGTCCCGGTTCAATTCCCCGTCGGGGCACAGGCCTGGGTTGCAGGCTCAATTCCCAGTGTGGGGCGTGCAGGAGGCAGCCGATCAGTGATTCTCTCTCATCATTGATGCTTCTCTCTCTCCCTCCCTCCCTCTTCCTCTCTGAAATCAATAAAAATATTATAAATAAATGAAGAGAGAGAGAGAGTGAGAGAGAGAGAGGAAGGAAGGAAGGAAGGAAGGAAGGAAGGAAGGAAGGAAGGAAGGAAGGAAGGAAGGAAGGAAGGAAGGAGAAGGAAGGAAGGAAGGAAGGAAGGAAGAAAGAAAGAAAGAAAGAAAGAAAGAAAGAAAGAAAGAAAGAAAGAAAGAAAGAAAGAAAGAAAGAAAGAAGAAAGAAAAGAAAAGAAAAGAAAAGAAAAGAAAAGAAAAGAAAAGAAAAGAAAAGAAAAGAAAAAAGAAAAGAAAAGAAAAGTTCTTGGTTGGGAAGATGGCTCAGGGCCCACGATTCAGGTGTAGGGATCCCGCGAGCCCGGCAGCCTGTAGCATCCCTACAGCCTGGAGATCAAACCCAGATCCCTTCTCAGACCCTCATCCCTTGCCTGTATGGAGGCCTCTGCTTCCCGGCCCGGTGACAGGCACAGTGGTCAGTGCCGCCCGGAGGCCTTAGAGCGGCTGCTTTAGGCGGGCTCTCAGGGAGAGCTGCTCAGAGGGAGAGCTGAGCTCTCCACCCGGAGCACGGCCCGTTGGAAAGCTCTGGGCCTGCTGGATGGTAGATGTGTGTCTCAGGCTTCCTTTTGTGGTAACATAACCCCCCCCCCCTGCACAGCCATATTGTAAAAGAGGGGAACCATAGCCCCCCTACCTCTCACCCCAAAGCTCTGATATTTAACCCAAAAGCCTGATAATCGGCCGGACCAGCTTTCAACAGGGTACCTGGAAAGCAGGGGGCAACCCAAGTGTCCGTCCACAGGCGAGTGGACAAAGTGTGGGGGTTGCACACCATGAAATATTATCCAGCCCCAAAGAGGAAGGCGATCCGGGCAGAGGCAGCGACGTGGGTGGGCCTGGAGGACTTCGTGCTGAGGGAAGCAAGTCAGCGTCAGAAGGATGAACACCGCATGCTGTCGCTTCCATAGGAATCTAAAGTAGTCAAACTCAGCCCGGCCGGCGTGGCTCAGTGACTGAGCGTTGACCTATGAACCAGGAGGTCAGGGCACATGCCCAGGTTGTGGGCTCGATCCCCAGTGTGGGCTGTGCAGGAGGCAACCAATCAATGATTCCCTCTCATCATGGATGTTTCTCTCTCTCTCTCCCTCTCTAAAATCAATAAAAATATTTAAAAAATAAAATAGTCAAATGCACAGAAGCCGGAGGGAGAAAGGTGATTGCCAGGGGCTGGAGCTGGGGGAGGGGAAGCAGGGCCACCAGCCAGGCGTGGGCATTAGGAACATCGCTCCCCTTTTTCATGGGCCTCGGAGTCCTCACCCTTCCCAGGGAGCGTTGGGCAAGATGCTCGTAAGGATGTCATCAATTGTGTGAGGCTGTGCTCCCGTGATGCCATTTGAGTCCTGAAAACTTGCATTGCAGGGTCTGGCAATGAGGGAGCCGAGAAGGAAAAAGCCGGGGCTTTCCTTGGTGCGACAGGTAACGAGGCCTTTAGTCCCGGCTGTGACACTGTAACCCGGGAACACCCGTCTCGGCTTCTCCGAGCCTCGGTCTTTCCATCTGTGGAATGGGCGCAAGGCACTTTCTCCACCGGAAGGCCACATGGAAAGTAGTCATGGCAACTAGAATAGTAACAAGTGCTGTGTGATTAAATGGCATCTCATCCACAGCAATGGATCTTCCAGATCTCGGCTTTACGTCACTTCCACGGTCGGGGGGCCTTCTCCATCCCCTAGACCAGGTTGGGTGCTCGCGGCACCGCATCGTTCCCTGTTTGATGCTCCTCACGTGCCATTCACGTGACTCTCCCTCCTCCCCCCTGAGCCACAGACAGTAAAAGCCACAGACGGGGAGCTGGAGACCTGGTCCTTTTCCTTGACCCATTAACCCCACACCTCGCACACTGCTCGGCCCTCGGGGAGTGTTTGTTGAAGGAACGAAGAATGACTGAATGCCTCGGCTTTTCAGAATCCCTTTGACACGCCCTTCCTGGATGCCACCAACTGCCGTGCGGGCAAGTGGCCTAATATTTTGAAGGCCCGGGCTCTCAGCTCTAGGAAGTAGGTCCTGACCCCTTCCTCAGGGGCTCAGATGTGCAAATTAGGCAAGTTTCTCTCCCTCTCTGAGCCTCGGGTTCCTACCTGAGTAAAGGGCGAGGCAGATGAGTCCCCCACATCGGAATCGCCGGCCTGTTCTTTAGAAGGTGCACGTCAAGGCCGCTTGTGGCCCCGGAGACCAGAATCTCCAGCAGCGACTTGGAATCGGCCTTTTCACATGGTCCCCAGTGACTGTCACGGTCACCGGCCTGAGGACCGCGCAGTGCAGGCCTCGCAGGCTCCTCCAGCACATGGGGCTGGGGTGGGAGAGGAGGCGCCTGAAGGTGAGCCACCAGGACCCCTTCTCTTCCAGAGCTGCCTGCGAGGGCGGTGGACCTGTCCGCCCTGAACCTGACGGAGGTGGTGAACGGCATGCTGAGCAGAGCTTTAAAAGGTCAGCTTTTCTTGCCCAACCGCGTGGCTCGGTGATTGAGCTTCGACCTATGACCCAGGAGGTCACGGTTTGATTCCTGGTCGGGGCACATGCCCGGGTTGTGGGCTTGATCCCCAGCGGGGGGTGTGCAGGGGGCAGCTGATCAGTGATTCTCTCTCATCATTGATGTTTCCATCTTTCTCCTTCTCCCTTCCTCTCTGAAATCAATAAAAATATATTTAACAACAACAAAGGTAAGCTTTGCTGGAAAGCATCATCCAGGCCCACCTCGGCCTTGGGCCAGTTTCTCCGCTGGACTCTGTGGCCTGGGGCCCACGCGTGAGCCAGCTCCCCTCGCTCAGAGTGAGGGGGTGTGGTCCTCGCTAACTCGGGCGGGAGGGAAACACCGGTGCAGGAGCGCTGCCAGCACCGTGAGAGCTGGCCTGTCCCACAGCCAGGTGCCCATTTCCGGTCATGACTGTCTTCAGAGAGAACTGTCCTAGATCCAGGGCCGTTCATTCAACAGTTCTTTACAGAGCACAGAAAATGCAGCCAAGTGACGTGTATTTTTGCATTTTTTAATTTGCTTTTATTTTATTTTTTAAGTTACTTTATTAGGTGTTCGCTGTGTTATTAATTTCTGCGATCGGTTTGCGAATGTATGTTGCTATTGACTTTTGTCAGTAGGCGTGTGTCTGTTTCTTTATCTCGGTGTCGTTGGCAGATCGCAAGAAATTCTTCTCCTTGCTCAGCATCACGTCCTACAGCTCCTTCGCCTTCCACAAGCTCTCGGTGGCCGTTTACAACAGTGAGTGCCTCGTGGCGGCCATCACGGTGGGCGGTGCACCCGCAGGGACAGGCGGCGTCAGGACCCTGTGCGGACTGTTTGTCTTCACAGTTTCTAACCTGAAGACGGTGGACCAGGCCAGGTTCCCCACGCGGTACTGCTACTGCTTAAGCAATCGGACCAATGACCTGTCAGGTGGGCGGTACTGCTACTGCTTAAGCAATCGGACCAATGACCTGTCAGGTGGGCGGGACTACCTACTGCTTAAGCAATCGGACCAATGACCTGTCAGGTGGGCGGGACTACCTACTGCTTAAGCAATCGGACCAATGACCTCTCAGGTGGGCGGGACTACCTACTGCTTAAGCAATCGGACCAATGACCTGTCAGGTGGGCGGGACTACTTACTGCTTAAGCAATCGGACCAATGACCTGTCAGGTGGGCGGGACTACCTACTGCTTAAAAGCAATCGGACCAATGACCTGTCAGGTGGGAAATTGTGGGGTGAGACAGGAAGGGTGTTGCAGATCATGTAGAAGTTCGTAGGATAACAGGGGGCAAACAAGTCAGCAAAACCATTACTCAACAATGTGGCCTTGCACAGCTCTTGGGGTTGGCAGACAAGGATTTGGGGGAAGAGGGCAATGGAGGAGAAAGAGGGTTTATCACGGCAGGTCCAAAAAGTGTTCTGCCTGCCAGAAATTAAGACTTTTTAAAATAACGAGTGGCATTTGTATGATTGTTAATATTCCTCAAATCTCTGAACTGAATCAAACTTGTAAAATTGACTCTGAAATATCCAAAGATAATGTAGTTTCCCCTTCAAGTCTCAGAAACTAAGCTCCTCAATCTGTCTTGCAGATTTCACAGCCCTGCTGGTGGACATCATCGGGAATTCCACCAGCTACCTCACCGAGATTTTTAAGTCGACCTCTATCCTCTCAGGTGGGTTTATCTTGAAGACACTTGGCAAATTTGAGATTTGGCATCTGCCATGGAGTATAATCAAACCCAGCGGACCACCCCAATCCGTGCCCCAGCCCCTGCCATAGGCCAGGCTCCAGGAACGTTAGCGTAAGTTTAATTTAGACAATCGGTGTGTCTCGTTTCAACCACCAGCACCTGCAGGTTCCATCTTCCCGTCAGAGCTATTCCTGGTTCAGAACATTGGAGGATGAATCCAAGGCTCAACGTTGGGGGAAATCTAGGCAGATTCAAGGAAACAGCTTCTGTTGGACAGCTATGCTCCCATTTTAAAGATTAGAAAACTGAGGTTCAGAGAGGTTGACTATTTTGCTCATGGTTATTCAGAATTCAGACTGAGATCTATGTGGAGCCAAAGCCCATGGCTACCGTACAGCTGAGAAAGACATGCCTCATTTATAAGGTGGCGTCACATAACCTCTAGGCAGTTCCCCTGGGACCCACTTTGCAAAGCACAGAGTTAGTTAGCAGCCCAACACTTGGGCTCATCAGGAGGATGGCAGCTACACTCTGGAGAAACTGCTGTTTTAGAAGAAGGGAGACCGGGAGAGAGAGATAATGACAGATGTCATTAGGTACATGTACCAGGGCGTCTTCTAAAGGCTTATTCCCTCATTGTAACGAGGACGGCACCCTATACAGCTACAACATTTATCACCACTTTACACGTGAAACTGGGGCACAGAGAGGCTGAGTGACCTGCCCAAGACCATTCTGCAGAGATAGAATTCTAGACCCAGGTGATCTAGGCCTGACGTTCATGCCCTTGGTCACTATGCTAATTCATATGATGATAGCATCACATTAGCGGCAACAATAATAAGTATTATAACTCTTTATGGAGCTTTTCTGTCAGGCATCATACTTAGAGCTTTATGCACATCTCATGGTGTCATCAACACCACCTTCCTAGGGCCGTGCGACCACCCGCCCACAGTCCCTAAAGGGACAAGGATGTTTAGGGACTCAGAAGCTTTCGGACGTGTGAGGGTCTAATAGGGTGTCTGCATCGTCCATGACCCAACCTCCAGCAGCATGAGGGCGGCCTCATGTCATCAAAGACGCCCTATTCGATTAGCAGAGGGTGACCCTGACCACCACGTGTGAGAGAGAAAGACGACAAAGAACCTCACATCTGTCAAGTCAGGTTTGGCCACCAAATGAGTTTGGTACCAAAATGACACAAAACCTCCCATCGTACAGAGATTTGGGAATTTGCAAATTGCAAATAAGGGACTGGGATGAGAATGTTCACCATTTTAGAGGTGGGTAAACTGAGTCCTAGAGAGGTCAAGCAGTTCGCCCTTGCTCAGGTAGCTAGGAAGTGGCAGGCTGATGTACCCGGGGGAGCTGACCCCAGAGGCCCTGCCCTTAGCCATTTCATTATCCGGCATCCCACCCCCACAGCCCCCCGAAAAGCAGCCCTGCCTTCAGAGTGAAGACACAGCCTCCCTTCCCACAGCACCTGCGCTGGGCATTTCTAGCTTCATTTCGTTTCCACCGAAGACGCTGCAGCTCCAGAGCCGTTGCTCAGTCTCATGTGCTGCTCGTTGTCTTGCAGTGAGTCAGACGAATGCCTCCGACTGCATCTTCATCTGCGTGATGACGGGGAAGGCAGGTGAGCCAGCCGGTCCTGGGCAAGTTCTCTGAGCTGAGACATAGACGCAGCTGCCAGCAGGCGGCCCAGATGGAACCTGTCGGTGGGGTCTTTGCAGGACGGAACCTCTCTGACTTCTGGGAGTTGGCGGAGAAATCTCCGGTCATCAATTACACCTTCACCAGCAGCCTGGCCGAGGCTCCAGGTGAGTGGAAACGGCCCGGACACCGGCTCTAGAGTCTCCAGGCCAGGCTCCCTCCTGGCAAACAGAAAACAGAAGACAGAACGCTGCCCGCAGGGTTTTATTTAGCTATCCTGGGTTAAAAAGGAGGAATCCTCCCCTGACTCGTGCGACAAGCAACTGATGTTGAGTAGCTGCCGCCTCATCCCCCCCCCCCCCATAGGAGGGCCACCTTCCTCCTGTTTGCCACAGTCCTCTCTGCTCCCTGTTGCCTCGCACTGGGCTTCTGACAGCTTCGCCTTCTGTTCACTGTGCTTCTGCGCATGGCTTTTTCAGAGGCTGATGTTTTAGATTAGTTTGTCATTCAAGGAGAACCCGTCTTTTTGGTGACATGTGGTGCTGGTCCGAGTAAGGTTTGAGTCTCTGCATCCTAAATATGTGCTGTGCGATGATGACCTTCCAGTGATGCAACAGTTCTTTATGTCCAAAGTGACAAAAATGTTACAGCTGCCAGGGGGACAGCTGTGGCTTCCAAGCTCACACCCACAAGCCAGCAAACACCGCCGAGGACAAGCCCTCCACGCCCAGCCCGGAGCACCAGCGCGTCTGCTCTGAGAGCCTCTCCCTGGACCGAGGTGCCTGATCCTTTAGAGGGAGAGCAGGCGGTGAACACAGACAGACTTCCTGAACTCCTCGCCACGGCCACGGCCACGGCCACTCCGGGCAGCGTCTCCCCCACCCTCCCAGGCTCGGGTAAGATTTCTCACACTTTCCTCTCCTGCCCTGTTCCACCCTCCAGTGAATATAGTACAGAGGGCTTTCTAGGACCCTTCACCCAGCATCCCCCAAGGAGAATCTCTTACAGACTTGAAATATATTGTAGCAAAAAGGTATTTTTATTTCAGCAAAGCATTTAGCAACGTCTCCCCTGAGATTCACACAAAACGGTGAGATGCACTCAGCACTGTATGGCAGGGGTAGGTTAACGCGCGGCTGGCTGGATAATGATGCCAAGAATATGTTAATGACGCTGCCGGCGTGAAAAGCTACCGCTGATGGTGGGCCAAGAGCATCCTCCTTCCCCACCATCTCTGTGGACACATCCATGGTATTTGGGCTGAAGGCACAAAAGGCATGCTTATCCTATTTGGAAATAAGATACAACTGGGATGACTCTTTCAGTCAATGAGATCCAGCAATGGACCGGTCATTTACTCATCCATCCACCCATCCATCCATCCATCCAACCATCCATCCACCCATCCATCCGTCCATCCATCCATCCATCCATCCATCCATCCATCCATCCATCCATCCATCCATCCAGATGTAGTTTCTACCAGACACCAGGCTGGCTGCTAACAACACAGCTCTGTCAACGTTTCCTTTCTTCCTGAGCTCACAGGCCAGGGATAGAGACACAGGCAAGTAAACTGAGAGCTGTGACCCAGACTCCAAAGGGTTCTTGTCCCGGAGGCCCACGGAGGTAAGGATTGATAAGTCGGGCAGCAGGCCTAGAAGAACACATAGGCAGTAAAATCTCAGACATTCCTCAGAGCAATATTTTTTCTGATATATCACCTAGGGCACAGGAAACAAAAGAAAAAACAAACAAATGGGGCTACATCAAACTAAAACGTTTTGCACAGCAAAGGAAGCCATCAGCAAAATGAGAAGACAACCCACTGAATGGGAGAACATATTCGCCGCTACATCTGATAAGGGGTTAATATCCAAACGTTATAAATAGCTTATGAAACACACCAGGAAAAACCCCAAAGAATCCAATTTAAAAATGGCCAAGGGACCTGAATAGACACTTCTCTAAAGAGGACATACAAATGGCCAGCAGATATATGAAAAAATGTTCCACGTCACCGATCAGCAGAGAAATGCAAATTGAAATCACAATGCAGTATCACCTCCCAGCTGTCAGAATGACTGTTATCAATAAATCTACCAACAGCAGGTGTTGGTGAGGATGTGGAGAAAAGGAATCCCTCGTGCACTGCTGGTGGGCATGCAGACTGGTGCAACCACTGTGGAGTTTCCTCCAAAAATTAAAAATGGAACTGCTGTTTAACCCAGGATCCCCCTTCTGGGAATATATCCTAAGAAACCCAAAACACTAATCCAAAAAATATATGCACCCCTATGTTCACTGCAGTGTTATTTACCACAGCTGTGATCGGGAAGCAGCCCGGTGCCCACCAGTGGATGGTGGGTAAAAGGCGGTGGTGCATGGACACAAGGGCATGCTGCTGGGCTGTGGAGGGGAGGACATCTTGCCTTTTGCGGAAGTGGATGGACCTGGAGAGTGTGGTGCTGCCGGCAGTGGGCCGGTCAGAGGGGACGGGGCCATGTGGTATCACTTATATGTGGAATCTAATGAATAGAATAAACTAACAAACAAAATAGGAACAGACTCACAGCTGTCAGGGGGGAGGTTAGGTGAAAAAGGTGAAGGGATTAAGGAAAAAAACAACCACCTCATAGACCAGCCGTGGGCAAACTACGGCCCGCAGGCCGGATCCGGCCCGTTTGAAATGAATAAAACTAAAAAAAAAAAAGACCGTACCCTTTTATGTAATGATGTTTACTTTGAATTTATATTAGTTCACACAAACACTCCATCCATGCTTTTGTTCCGGCCCTCGTCCAGTTTAAGAACCATTGTGGCCCTCGAGTCAAAAAGTTTGCCCACCCCTGTCATAGACAGACAACAGTGTGGTGGTTACCAGAGCGAAAGGGGGTTGAGGCAGAGGCGAGGGCAAAGGGGGGATAAATGGTGATGGAAGGAGACTTGACTTGGGGTGGTGAACACACATACAATGTACAGATGATGGCTTATAGAATTGTACACCTGGAACCTATATAATTTTATTAACCAGTGTACTACTGTCGTGAGAGGTGGCTACAGGGGCCGGACTAATAAGGTGGCAAGTACAATAGGGTCTCGAATGGGATGAAAAGAGTCGGGCAGCAGGATAACAAGGATGGGGAAAAGGAATCAGCTTATCAACTAGAAAAGTCCTCAGTCCAATAGCCGGCATCATGAGACACAAAGCTAGGACGCTTTACGGTGTAACAGACACGTGATTCCTAGTGGCCAGAGGAACGATAAAAGTCCTCGCTGGATTCCGCACAGAAGTGCTGGCTTTATGTGCACAAAACCACACAGCTTTCATGAACGTTTTTTGTTTTTTTTTAAAAAAAGCATCTTTAAGTCAATGAAGCAATATACCATTTTCTGGATAAGAAATCTGAATATTTTGAAGATGGCAACTGTTCTCAACTTAGAGGTTTTACATCCTCAGGGGATTCGTTTTGTAAAACTTGAAAAAAATGAATTTTAATCCCTACCATGGGAATGGACTAGCGCGAATCGCTAGCGGTTACTTACAAGACCAGCCAGGGAAGGTGTGTCTTCATCACCATCCTCTGATGCTATAGGGAGTCATTATGATCTCCATTTCATGACAAAACTAAATAGCATTCAGTAACTTGCCCCAAATTTTACAGCACGGGGGACCCTCTGGGTCCCCTCACCTCAGCCCCATCACCTTTCCGCTATGACACGTGGTTGGAAATAATGGCGAGATGGCTGGGGCGTCCGAAGGGCTTGCAGATGTTTCTATATTGATAGTTAGGAAATGAACGTTAGTTTGTCCACGTATTCCAGTTCTTGGTCGCCTTTGAGTCCCTAGATTATCTAGATTATGCAGGCACCGTGCATTTACCCTGCGATTACATTTCCGTGTCTTAGCAATTTTATATCCAAATCGAAGTGGTCAAGCATGTAAATGGCCTGTTACTGTCACTTGTGCAGCTACCAGGAGGGCGGCCGGAGCTCCATGGGTGACAGACGGCAGGCAGGCCTGGGCGTCCACACTGCCCGTCCCCCGGGCTCCAACCTCCAGTGAGGAAACACCTGGAGGGCCTCCCTGGGAAGCGCTTTCCTCCACAGCGACATCGCCCGCAAAGGCCAAGGACACGGGGACCACGGGGAGCCTTTCGGAGCCTCCTGCCGGGACACACGGCAGCCCTTCCCAGACCAGCCCCACCTCGGGTAAGAGAGGATGTTCTCCCCCAAACCCCCCGCTTTAAAAAATATATATAATTGATTTCAGAGAGGAAGGGAGAGGAAGAGGGAGAGAAACATCAATGATGAGAGAGAATCATGGATCAGCTGCCTCCTGCACACCCCACACTGGGGATGGAGCCCACAACCCGGGCATGTGCCCTGACTGGGAATCGAACCGTGACCTCCTGGTTCATAGGTCGATGCTCAACCCCTGAGCCACGCCAGCCGGGCTATTTTTACTCATCGCTGCATCCTCAACGCCCTGCCTGGTCCCTGGCTGGATAACCAACATGGGCTGCCTAGGGCAGGGCTGGTGGCCCGGGGCCCCTGAGCAGTGCAGGCTCACCTCTCTCCCATCTCACCCCAGGGACACTCACCCCGGGCACACAGACTTCCAGTCCCACCAAGGCCCCGGCCCCCCGGTATCCACAGACAGGTAAGACGTGCGTGCGCTGGGAAGGGGGCCCCAAACCGGGGCAGGGCCCGGTGGGCCGGAGTGTCAGGAGGCGGACAGGGCCGGCTGTTGTACTTCATTGGCTCCGCAGGAGAACAGGCGGGAGGGCCACGCCTCGCTGTGCTGCTCACTTGCCCCGTGAGCCTGGGCAGATCGCCTCCGCCTTCGGGGTCACAGTCTCCCCATCGATTTCGAGAACTCTTTATCCTTCAGGTGCTGTGACTCTCTGCTTGTGAGGTTAACCCAAGGCCACTTCGTTTGGAATTTTGAGGCCATACTCGCTCCTTGCAGGTGACCTTCTGCGGCCATTGCCCCCTGCAGAGGAGCCAGCCCTGGTCCCGGGACCCCACCACGTTCATGTCTCAAGTAGGTCCCAGCACTTGTCACTCCTGTCGCTCTTGTTGGTTTGGGGCGAGGTCGTGCAGCACCGTAAAAAGAGGTGTGTGTGAGCGATCCAGAGTCAGACTCTGGGACCCGCACCCCAGCTCTCCCAGTTCCCGGTGAGGCGGCCCCAGAACCCCGTGCCTACGGCCATATCGCGGGAATAACAACCATCACTCGGGCCCTGGAGACGTCCTGTTCCCCCAGGGCTTTGTCTGAAGGGAGACAATGTGTGTGGAAGTGGCTTGGAACCGGGGCTCCGTGTGATTTAATTCAGCCGATTGTTGTTGAGTGAGCGCCCGGTGAGAAGGCGCCGTGCCCTTGGCGAGTGGACGCTGTCCTAACGGGCGCGATGTTAGAATGGAAGGAGGACAGAATGACTCCGAAATTCAACCCCCACGTTCTGGGTGCACTTGGCCTTTCTTCTGTTTTCAAGGACGCCCCGCCTTCCCCAGCCCTGCGCACTTCATTCTTGTGAAATTCCAGCCGCGGACAGCCTCCCGGGCTGGGGCTGGTGGTCAGAGGCCCGGGCTCCGGTTTCTGTGGTTTGTGCTGTGCTTTGGGGTGACCCTCCTCCTTCCTGTTTAGCCGGTTTCCATGAGGGAGAAATGGATCTGAAGGGAGTCCTTCAGAGCTGACTGAGCCTCAGGCCCTCCCTTCCCGGAGGCCTTTCCAGACCGGCTTCCTGATGTCCCTGATGTCAGCGAGGCTTTCTTAAACGCTGGCGCCTGCCCAGCCTCTGTTCCTATCGCCCCATCGGCCTGAACCCCGCCCTCAGCCTGCCGTGAATGGGCCCCTCACACACAAAGACGGGATTGTGCTGCCGCAGGAAATGGCAGCCCCCCTCCCGGGATCCACAGAAACTTGCCAGCGGTGCAGACGGGACAGTGGGCAGATGGACCTCGAGAAAACAAGTTGGCTGTGTCTGGATCTTCACTGTTACCGGCTCTGGAGTCGGCTCCGACTCCCGGAGACCCTGTGAATGAGCGACGGGCCACATGTCCCGTCCTCCCAGCATGCTCAGCTCCTGCAGACTCCTGCCTGTGGCCTCTCTCATGGAAGTCAGTCCAGATCCTAGTTCGTCTTCTCTTTTCCTGCTGCCTCCGATATTCCCAGCATGATCATCTTTTGCAAATAACCCTGTCTTCTAGGTCTACCTGTATCTATAGCTATTGCTTTATTTGATCTATACCTACATATCTATATTTACTTATATAGCTCTATCATCTATCTATGAGAAAGCCTATAGAATAAAAGGCTAATATGCAAATTGTCCCCTTGGGAGTTCGACCGGGAGACTGGGAGTTCGATCGCTCACTATGACGTGCGCTGACTACCAGGGGACAGCGCGGAACATGGCAGGTGACCAGCAGCAGCAGGGTGCTGAGGGAGAGAGAGAAGGAGGCAGGGAGGCCAGCTGGCAGGGAACCTGATCGGCCCTGATCGCCGGCCAGGCCTAGAGACCCTACCTGTGCATGAATTTCGTGCACCGGGCCTCTAGTCTAAGTGTAAAATAACAGGGTTCTGGCATCTTCCAGTATGTGATTCTGCCCATTCACAAAGTATGCCACCAACTTTCTGACATCCACTCATTCTTCCACTGGCTAAGTATGTATTGAGTTCCTCCTGCGTGCCAGGCACCGGGTCATGCCTATTCTCACTTTCTCTCTGCAATGATTCTGCAGGGCAGGTCATGTTATCTTCAACCACTTTTAGTGAGTCCTTCCTAGTAAAGAGTGACTCTGCTTTGAGCCCAGGTCTATCTCATTCCCCAGCCCGTTCAGTGTCTCAGATCCCTGTGGGACATTTACTCCTCAGTAGAACCGTGTCTGGTTCCCTCCAGGAACTGGATCCCACTTGTCCTCCTCCGACCTCTCAGACCTGGCGCAGAGCTTTACGGGGCAGCGGGTGAAGGACGCCAGGCTTCCCCGTCTGTCTCAGAGCCGCCTGAGGTCAGGGCAGGACCACAGCCACTGAGCACAGAATCTAACAAAGGGAGACCCTGTGCACACTTTTGTTGACTCCACTGGTCTGGGATTGTGTCTTCCAGGATGTCCTCAGCAGCTCCTCAGAGAAGGGCCCCTGACAGCCGGGCCCCTCCCCGGGGCCGCCCACAAGCTCACCCCCTGCCTGATGGAGCTGTGCCGGTTTTTCCAGCAGTGCCTCTGCGCGAGCCCAAGGAGGGACCCCAGGACGGAGGCCATGAGGTAACCTGGGCCAGAGGCCGCTGGTCCAGCATTTATGCGCGTCCTACTCTGCACTGCTTCTCTGCAGGCACGGACTGCAGACGGGCGACAGGGGCGCCTCAAGGAATGGACTCCCCAGTGAGTTCTTTGCTAGATTGTCACCTTCTCAAGAGCCAGGATGGAACCTTATCCATTTCTGGTCCCAGAGCCAGGTGCAGAGCCTGACATAATAAGTACAGTTGAGCCGAGTCTGATCGAGTGGAGTCGAGTTGACTTGAACTGTGTCCTACCTGGTGGAATGGTCTCAGAGGACTGTGAGTGGTCCCCAATACCTCCGCCTGGTGAGATTCGCTAGAAGATAATAATCAGAGGAAGGTCTGTTAATAATCTAAATGACAGGTCTTCCAGAAACCCCTCGCTGTCATTTGCAGGCCAAATGAGAAGGTTGAACCAAGAAAATTAGAAGGCAGACCCCGTTTTCTATTAAGAAGTTGTAGGCGTGGGCACCTTCCCGCCCGGGGATGCTGACATACTGTTCTGTCTTCTGGAATTTATTCTTGGCTGGAAACCCAGAGCCAAACAACATAGATAACTAGTTCTGCTCCCCGGTCTGAGGTCAGCCTCCCAGACCTTTAATGTGACTTTCAAAGTCTACTCGTTCTATCCTTCAGCTCTTCCAGGCTCCATGATCCACCGGCTCTGAGCCTCAAGGTCAGGGTTGCAGCCTTTTCCCATCACCCCTTTCTGGCCCTGGTCTTGGGTCCCTTCATGAGTGTGGCTGTTTCCCGCACCCAGAGAGGGCCATGAGCAAGACGCACAGCCTGCAGGTGTTAGCACGGTGGAGGCATTCCCTCCATGGCGAAAGCAGCAGCGTTCTTGCCGGCACTGCCAGGCTGTGGTGAGAGCAAGTGGAGCTGAAATGGAAGCGGACATTGAATGGTCCCGCACAGGGCCCGGCCGCTGCACAGTGGCTGCTGGAGATACCCTCGCGGTTGGCGGTGCCTCCTTCTCTCCTCCACTCTCATGCCAAGTTGGAACCTCAGCTCTAGCCTCCTTGGTACGTTGTAGCTGTGGCACCAAGTACCCAGTGGCCGTGTCAGCTGTGGACCAAGCTGGACACGTCAAGGTTGTTGACCGAGGTTTGGAGATGTCACCGTGAGAGTATGAGTCACACGCTCACAGCCAAGTACCCCTGGCTCAGATCCACACTGCTCTTTCTCTGCCGTGTGTGTGTGTGTGTGTGTGTGTGTGTGTGTGTGTGTGTTGTGTGTGTGTGTGTGTGTGTTGGGGGCGGGGGGACAGCCGGGGGAGGCCGAGTGGTACATTTCCCATCTCCCAGAATGCCTTTCCAGCCGTCTCCTGTAAGTTCATTCAATGGGAGATACTGGCAGGAGATTGGAGGACAGAACAGAGGAGAGAGATACAGTGATTGGTTGCTTCCGGCATGTGCTCTGACCAGGGCTGGGGATCAGACCTGCAACCCAGTTACATGCCCTTGACTGAGAATGGAACCCATGACCCTTTGGTGCAGGCCAACGCTCTAACCACTGAGCACACTGGCCTGGGCCATTATGACTTTTTAAAATCCTGGTTGTCTCCTAACAGCCACAACAGATAGCGATTGCTCTCAGCTCTGACTTAAACTTTCAGGTACTGCCTTGAGTTCTATTCCTGGTTTCTGAAGAACGCAACCCACATCTGCCAGGAGGCGAAGAGGGTGCCCCACTCGCGCAGTGAGTACACGGCCGGGCCGTGCTGTGACGGCGATGAAGGCTCCTGGGACAGGGCCTGGCGCTCTGAGTGCGTTTCCTGCCTCTGCAGGGGCGGGGGAACTCACCTGGTCATTGCTGTTCCAGACAAGGAGTCTAGGGCAAGCATGTCAAACGCTAACACAGGCCAAAGACACGAGGCAGGCGGCCCGCGGTGCGAGTCTGACATGCTTGGTCTAGGTGTTCCCGATTCCTCTGCACCTAACAGTTTGATATCTGCAGTAGGTGTTAAAAAAGAAAAAAGCTGGAGTCAGGCAGGCCGAGCACTGCTGCTTTCTGTGTGTGACTTTATTCCTCCCGGGCCCCATGAAGCTAAAAACACAGACAAAGCAAAATATCAGACAGAAGACACCCCCAGGAACACCCCCATTCCCGACCCAAGCAAAGGTATACAAGTAATTCAAGCAAAAGAGGGCACCCCAAGCTGCTGGAAGTGGGGTGTTTGGTCCCTCTCTCCTCCTCCCGATGGCAAGGAAGCCCCGTTCGCTCTCAGGGTGCCAGGCATCGGCTTTGTCTTGTCTCCCACTCCTGCCGACAGAAGCGCTGATCTCGCCTGCCTGGTGCTGAAGCCAGTGCCTGGCCGTTCCACTGTGCCCTCTAACAGCACCGTCTGGTCAGGGGACTCTGGTTTTCCAAAAACCACGGAATTCTATGGAACCCTGTGAAAACGCCTTCCTCATGAAACCCAGTGTAAGCCAGGCGCTCACACGGCCCCGTCTTGGCAATGTTTTCCATTAGAAAACAAAAAACGTTTAGCCACCCAATCCTTCCTGTGGCTCTTAAGGGACATCCAATGAATACCATGACGACACTTCTTAGACACTCTTCTTATTCGTTTGCCCCCGTCTTCTCTCCCTTCTACCAGCTGCCATCTCAAAGCCTCATCCACGCTTTATTGTCCACCTACCACTCGGCAGCCCCCTAAAACCACGCTTCCTGGCTCCCCTGTGTCCACGTGCCTCCTCTGTTTATTTTCATTTCCTTTTGCCTCAATGCTTTCTTCCTTCTCAACACATTCCCTTATTTTGATATTTTAGAGAGAGTGGAAAGGAGGGAGGGTGGTGGAGGGAAAGAGAGAGAAACATTGATGTGAGAGAGACATATCGATTGGTTACCTCCCTCGTGCACCCCGACCAGGGCTGAGGATTGAACCCTCAACCCTTCAGTGTGTGGGCCGACACTCTAACCACTGAGCAACACAGCCAGGGCTGTCTTCTCTTTCTGTCATCGCCTTTTCTCTGCAGCACAAAACCCAAGCCTGGGAGTGGCACGTGGGGGCTCAGCAGTCAAAGGAGAAATCCCTTTCCCTGGCGCAGGTAGAACTGGGAAATCTTGCCAACTACTTATAATTGAACCAGTGTCCCGGTGCACGGATTCGTGCACATTGAAAGGCAATTAATTAGAAGAAATATTTTAATATCGCTATTCCTGTCTTGCTAATGAAAAGAAAATAGGATTTCACTGAGTCTCCTATCTACTTACTCCAGGATTTCTGTGAGGATCAAATGAGATGAGGCACGAGAAAATGCTTCACAGACATTTGGTTAAAGTGTGAAATGTTTGCATCTGGCTATAAAGCAAGTCGGGTTCCTGGGCTGAAGAAACTCCAAGGAGGCTAGCCGTCGCTAGGGAGAGGAAGCCGGGCATTGCTATGTGATGTCATTACCCGGTGCCCACAGCGACCGTTTCAGGCTGGGCTGGGTTGTGGGTCGCATTTTGCACCGTGGGGTCTTGGAGCGTTAGCTGCGATTTGGTGGGCTGTCACTTTAGGGTGGTGGTGGGGCCTGTGTCCCCCTTGGGGGAAGCCGAGTGTTGGTTTGTGGGTGCCAGGTCCGTGGTGCCGTTTATTTTTAAATGGACAGTGTGCATCATGACAGCTCCTGCGTTGAGAGTCTGCCCCCTGTGGTCAGTGTGCGTCATAGCTACCGGTTGGGCGGATGGACACTTAGCCTTTTATTTATATAGATAGCTCTTATTTTGTCCTCGTCACATTAAAATCGGTACACAAACAACATATTACATTTACGGAGCAGCACAGGAATGAGTTCAGATTACTTTTATGCAAACTGGGGAGATGTGTGGGTACAGCGGGAATTAGAAAAACATCACTGAACAGAGATCCGCTTTCGACTCAACTTTGCTGCTAACGAGCCAGGGGGTCTTGCCCACGTTCTTTCTAATTGTGCGGGGGAAGGGAGGGAGTCTGGGCAGCTCCCGGCCAGTCCCTGCCCCTGGCACACACCGCCCCCTGGGAGAGCCGGTGCCCTCAGAATCGATGTCTTTGTGGCATCTCCTTCTCAGCCCTTGAGCTCCCTCTTCTTCTTTTCTTTTTCAGCCTTAAAACAACGATGCCTGGAGAACATCTGCAGGTCTGTGTGAGCCTTGAGAGAACAACGGGACCTCACCATGAACCCAGCCGTCTCTTCACCCTGGCCCCTGGCCCCTGGCCCCAGTGGGCTGCACTGGCAGGAGTCACCGGCCTCAGCTAGACCAGGGGTGGGGAACCTTTTCCTGCCCAGGGCCACTTGGATATGCACAGCACCATTGGAGGGCCATACAAAATGATCAGCTTAACATTAGCCTGCTGTATTGGTCAAGCATGTAATTAGCTCCCCCCCAATGCCCCGGCAGGCCCAGACCTAATGATTCTGTGGCTTTATACCAGCGGTTCTCAACCTTGGCTGCACATTAGAATCACTTGGGAACCTTTTAAAAATCCTCCGAGATGAGGCCCAGAAATCAGGATTTTTAAAAGATTCCCAGGTGATTCTAACGTGCAGCCAAGGTTGAGAACCACTGCTTTATACAGTCCTGGGCCGGGCGTTCCCACCCTGATAGATCACCAGCTCATTGGAAGCGGTTCTTTTGGAAGCAGCATTTCTTTCTCTCCCGTGGACCCTCGGGAAATATGGAAGCGGCGGGGTGGGGGGAGCGGCGGGAGGGTGGAGGCCGTCAGAAGCCTCAAGGTGAATGCAGTCCCACCAGCCCTCCTGCTGCCCAAGGTCACAGAAACCTGGTCACTCCGCTCCGGACACTTCCATGATGCTTTGCAGCAATTAATTCCGAGCCTGGAGCCCCTGGTCTCCCCGAGTTTAAGGGGGAGGTGCCCCGCCCCGAGCTGAATGCGTTCTGATTGGGGGATGGAGAGCAAAGAGGTCTGGGGGTGCTGTGTGTCTGTGGCCACGGCGCTCACTGATGCGGTAACCGAGACGGGCGGTTATTGTCCCGCTGTCGAAGGAGACTTGGCAGTTACACGTGTGACATCATTAAACGGGATTCTTCCTGGAGACAAAGGCGCAGGTGCTCTTCTGTCCCTTTCATTCTTGCCCAAAGAAGAGCCAAATTAGCTAGAGAAAGAGGAGGGGGAGGAAGGGGTGGGGAAGAGGGAGCAGGGAGATGGGAGGGAGAGGTGTTAACGCAGTGGTTCTCAGCCTTGGCTGCACATTAGAATCACCTGGGCATCTTTTTAAAATCTGATTTCTGGGCCTCGTCCTCCGGAAATTCTGTTTCTTTGTTACTAATGTTGTGGCCCCACCCCGTAACAAAGAAACAGAATTTCCGGAGGATGAGGCCCAGAAGTCAGGATTTTAAAAAGATTCCCAGGTGATTCTAATGTGCAGCCAAGGTTGAGAACCACTGTGTTAAGGGGAAAAGAACATAGAGATGGGGGGGGGGTGGGAGGTGATAGGGGGAGGGGAGCAGGGAGATGGGGGGGTGGGAGGTGATAGGGGAGGGGAGCAGGAGGGAGGTGTGTTTCTCAGTCCCTGTGTGAGTCCCCGAGTGTGTGTGCACGTGCCTGTGTCCGTAGGGTGCGCCGTGCTGTGGCTTCCTGTGTGTGAGAAGCCGGGCGCTGTCATGGTGCAGCCTCTCCCTCCGGGCCTGAGTCCTTGTAGCACCTTTACTCTCACCCTGTCCCACCCCCAGAGAAGAGAAAGGCCGAAGCCCCACAGCAAAACCCATTTGGCCCCAAGTGTTGGGAATAGTGAGGTTGAGGGGCAACGAATTCTTCAAAGAAACCATTCAGGGGGCTCGAAAGGCTCTACCCCCCCTCCCTCCCCCCCCCCAGTGTCACTGCTGGGCGGGCCCTGGGTCCCCAGGAGGCCGGGAGACCCAGCAGCTGAGGGTCGTAGCCGAGCTGACCCGAAAGCCCAGAGTGTCCCGTCACGTGGGCCGGGACAGACGCCTCGACCTGGAGGTCACCACTCGTCTTGTCTGTGATGGAGCTGATGCTGCACCTGCTGGGGTGGGGGTGGGGGTGGGGGCGGATGGCAGGGCAGACTCCTGTGGACACACCTGATTGTGGGATGTGATGAGCGCTCTCTACAGGTGCGTTCTCCTTGTTAAACTCGGGGAAGGACTTATTCTTGAGGGCCATGAAGGTAAGGAGCCCACTGCCGCCCCCACACTTCGCCCGGCTCACCTCACTCTCCATCCTAGTGGGACTGTCCCCATAGGGTGGACTCAGGAGCGGAGCCTGAGCAGGGAGCTCCATGGCCCACAGGTAACCCGAGACCAAGCCTGGCCCGGCCCCCAGGAAGCCTGGGTACAAAGCCCCCTCCTGCCCTGCTCCGTAGTTTAGGAGAAAACCCCTGAAGGAGCGAGGCATCACGTTCCCAGCCAGGAATGTATGAGAAGAATCATTGAGATCTTGCTGAAGGATTAGCTAAACCAACAAAGCAGGCCTCTTCCTCAGGGAGAGCCAGGACTTTCACCGTCTCTCACCCCCCAGGTCACCCATCTCTCATCCCCCAGAGACCCCAAGGCATAATCCCGGCCTCCGGGCCTTTGAGGTGTGGGGGGTGCGGAACAGGGAGCCTTTGTTCTCTAATGAGAGCCCGGTGCTCCCTGAGGCTCAGGGGCGACCTCTCTGGAGCTGCACCTGCTGAGCCCCTCAGAGGCAGCCCACCTGCCACTCATGGACGCGGGCCTCCTGATGAGAGGGGAGGGTCACATGACCCGGGTCTTTCCTGGGCGTATAAAGGGCTCGTCCCCATCTTGTTCAAAGCTGCCAGGATCATTCGTCCAACTCCGTCCCAGGAGACCTGCACGGTAGGTAGGCACCCCTTCTCCTGATGGGGGGGTGGGCAAGGAGGGAGGCAGGGAGGGTGGGGGCAGGAGAATAAAGGCAGAACTGGGTGAAAGAAGAAAAGAAGGAAGGGAGTCGGGAGAGAGGGAAGGAGAGAGGGAGGGAAGGGGAGGAATGGATAGAGAAAGACGGGGGGGATGCGGGGGGCTGCTCCCAGGGGTGTCTGAGACCCGGCGCTGCTCCCGGGCGTAGCCAGCAACTGAGGGCGCCCCAAGCCCTTGTCCGAGCAGCAGCAATGCCAGGGAAACACCGCCAGGTGAATTCACTGGGGCACCCATCACAAGGCCCTGCAATCACTCCCCCCCCCCCCCCCGGGGCCTGGAGTGGGAACGGATCCTGCAACATGGCCGGGCTTCCCCAGCTCCCCCTGGGCCAGGGGCGCTCCGTATGTACCAGGCTTAGCCCTTTAACCTCCCGACACCCCATGAGGCACCGCCACGTGGGCATTTACCGCCACAGAACGCGCTGCAGCAGCTTCCACGCCTGGCTCAGGGCGCGGTGAGGGCAGAGCCTGAGCCCCACCCGGGTGTGCCCCGCAGACAGGCCCCGCTCTAGGGCCTCCCCACACTGCGGGGCTCGGGGTGTGCAGACCACAGCGAGGCCTGGGCCCCTCAGTCCCGCAGGACAGCACTGCCCACCTGCTCCTCCCCCAGGGCCACGGCAGCCCAGCGGCTTCCGGTGCAAACGAGGAAAAGGCATCTTTCCTCCAGATGGACACAGCCCAACCCAGGGCCCTGACCTGGCCACCAGGGGGTGCTGGGTGCCCAGGAGGGGGCAGCCCTGGCCCTGTCCCCCCCAGATCCTAGTGTGCCTGTCCCATCGGGGCTCCCTCACCACTGCTGGGGCCACCTCGGTTTCCCTTTACTTAGCTCAGCCGGGGGTTGTGCCTCGGGCCTGCCGAGCAGGTGTCACAAATGACCGGGAATTGAACCACGACCTCCTGGTCCATAGCTCAACGCTCAACCGCTGAGCCACGCCGGCCGGGCGCACCTTACCCTTTGCGTTCGTTCAGCCCACATTTACTTTACAGCCACCAGGCTGTGCTAGGCCCCGGGGAGGCTCAGAGCAGCGAACCCACAGCCTACAAATGCCGCCTCCTCTGAACGCCTTCCTCAGTACCAAGCCCCGCCCTCCAGGTAGAGTGGCCTCCACAGCCCTGGGCGCCTATGCAGGGCCTTGGGGACAGGGGCAGCCTCCTCGTCTGGGAGGACAAATAGGAGGCAGTGCCCCCCGACCCCCCCACCGCCCCGGTGGTGCAGCCTTGCAGGGGGCAAGCTGAGAGTTGAGCACAGGCTGCGTTTCAGCCCCTCCTTGCTGGCTCAGGGCCTCACTCTGGCCCAGTGTGCGACATGTAAGGCCGTCCCCAGCAGCCCGATGCGCCACGGGGTCACATGATCACATGGTCACACTGTCTTATCACACTTGGTCCTAAAAACACGCTCTAACGCAGAATAGCCGTCAACCATCCTCCGTCTGACATTCTTTAAGGAGTAACACCCCCAGGAGTTGAAATCATTCTAAAACCCCTCTGGTCTGTAAGGTTTTTTTCTTCCCGGGGAAACGCATGGCTGACCTGCTTGAGTGCAGGCAGCACCCACCAGGGTTAACAGCTGACTGAGCACAGGGCAGCGGCGACTGACATGGTGGGTTCCTGGCCCCTGTCCACCTTGGCCCTTCCCCCATGGCAGCCCGAGGCACAGCTCTCTGACCCCTGGGACAGCAGCAGAGTGTTCAAATCCCTCAGAAGCCAAGGCAAGGAGGAGGCAAGAGGGAGCATAACTGGCTAGCAGGCAGCGCCGTCACTCCACGGCCAGATTTCTGCGCGTCACGGATGCTGGTGGGAAGGCGCAGGCCTGCTGAATAGTGTAGCACAGGAATGCGGCGGCGGCAGTGTCACGTGCGGGTCAAGTACAGCTCAATTGGCCCCAGTCAAAGCGGAGCGCCGGCTCAGCTGCCTCCCTGCCAGGGGCCGGTAAACACGGCACAGGTGAGGCGTGTTATCCTCACCTTGCGGCCCAGGATCCCTGCCACCTGCCTGACACACAACGAGAGACCGTGGAATGAACAAGATGTTTCTTCAAGGAGCACCCCGTTAAGTTTCCATTTTACAGATGGGTAGACTGAGTCTCTTTGGTGGCATAGTGTTAGTTAGGGGCGAAGCCGGGACCAGAAGCCTTTCAGGCTTTCTCCTTGGCCCTCACTGCCTCGTGGGACAAGGGCCCCTGTGGGTTCTTATTTCGGGGGTTTCGGGAAGCAGACTCGTCACGCCCCGCCGGCTTCTCTCCCAGGAGGCTGCTCCCGTCCCGCCTCGGTCCGTCCTGGGCTCCACGATGGCCGCGCTTCTCCTCATCGGCATGCTGATGGCCCCGGGCGCGGGTGAGTGCTGGTATTTATGCCGCCTTCTGCTTAGCGTGTGATTACTTAACCTGATCCCTGGGACCGATCGTCGAATTGCGTCTGACCTGCTCCTGCCTGCGCCATCCCCTTGCCTAGTGAGGGATGGACAGCAAGGGCGCATGAGGAGCTGTAGGTTTGATGCAACTGACCGCTTGGAGCGCGCTGTCTGCATGCGGCATGGAAGGCGAGGTGGGGAGCCCGGAGCACAGGCCAGTGGCCGGTGAGCGATCTTCTCTCCGCCTGACAGCACCCCTGCCCCTCGCCTTCTTTCTCGTTCGCACATTTGTGTTGCTCTCAACACCCAGCCCACTTCGCCCACTTCTTTCCTCCTGTAGGAATGGCCAGGGTAGAAGGTGAGAACTTGCACCCCTCGCTCTAAACTTGGTCCCATGTCACCCAAACCTGGTCATCGAAGTGATTTCTTGGCAGTTGGGGTAGCAACAGCTCCACTTGGAGTCTTGGTTTGGAAGCTGAGTCTAATGTTCTTTCTCGTTCGCACGTGTGTGTCGCTCTCAACACCCAGCCCACTTCGCCCACTTCTTTCCTCCCACGGCGGGGTGGGCACTGTCCTACCCGAGGTCAGTCTGTATCTGGGCCTTCTTCTCCGTCCGTTCTCAGCTTCAGGGAAACTCGACCAGCACACCCTCCCCGCTAAGGCAGTGAGGGTGAGGCGAGGGGATCCACAAACATCACTGGTCGTTTATTTTGACCACGACCCAAGTCAGCGGACAGTACAAGAGGCTGCTGGTTACCCAGAAGCTTGTCAGTTGAAATTACAGCATCACCTCTGTGTAAGACTCAAAGTCTTCCCTCAGGTCCAGACCCGCCCAGACTCCACCCGAGACCTTCTTTCTCGGCAGAGAGGACCAGCCGCCTCGACAAGTTGCTGGTTCAAGTAGGAGGTGGTTGGGCTGAGCGAGGCAGGGGCCGGATCAAGGAAAGCCTGTGGTCAGTGGGTCTCAGTCTCACCTGCAATAATAAAAGGGAAATATGCAAATCGGCCAAACGACCAAACACTCTATGACATGCACTGGCACCAGGCCAGCCAAGGCGGGTGCGATGTGATTGGGGGGGGGGGGGGAGGGGCACCATGGCCACCATCGGCCCATGATCACAGGGAGGCCCAGGCCGGGGTGGGCCACCCTCTGCATGGCGAATTGATGATCGTGGGAGCCCACAATCGATCGCCCCACAGAGGAAGGCCAGGCCAGCCAAGGAAATCGCACCCCACCCCTGTCGCCAAAAAAAGGGAGGGGACCGGGGGGAGGTGACCGTGCAGGGAACGGGTGGGTGGGGGAAAGTGCCCCCAAAGATGGCAAGCAGTGGCAGCGGCAGGGGTGGAGCCAGCTGCCGGCAGCTGGGAGAAAGGAAAAGCCCCGATAGACCCTGATTGCCGGCCAGGCCTAGAGACCCTACCCGAGGGGTCCTGGATTGCGAGAGGGCACAGACCGGGCTGAGGGACACCCCCCCCCTGCATGAAATTTGTGCATGGGGCCTCTAGTTGTCTATAAAATGCTAATGAGGATAATACCTACCTCACAGCATGGGCAGAGGGTGCTGTGTGCAGAAGGAAGCCAGGAACAGTCTGAATGTGAGTCAGCTTCGCTCATGGCCACCTTTTACTGAATCGGGAGCATTATTCTGGTGAAGTTCCTCCTCATGTTCTGGTGAAGTTCTTCCTTATGTTCCTTCGGGCCTTCTGTCCCCCCTCCCCCAGCCCTCTACACTGAGTGCGCCAGTCCAGTCCAGCCAAGCAATCGCACCCCACGCCTGTCGCCAACAGAGGGAGGTGACCGGTGGCAGAGATGAACAGTTTAAAATCCAGGGTGACTCTTTAGGCTGCTACTGAAGATGTGTGGGCGCCGATATCCTGAAAGCAGGGAGGAGCGTGTGTGCCGGGGGCCAGCATCCCCTGTTAGCACCTGTCAGTAACGGGGTCCCCTCCGCCCTCCGGAACAGGGTCCCCGTGACCAGCTGCACAAAGGAATGCCGGCGAAGGGATTGTCAAGGAGCCGGCAATATTTTTTTTTAAATATATTTTTATTGATTTCAGAGAGAGGAAGGGAGAGGGAGAGAGAGAGAAACATCAATGATGAGAGAGAATCACTGATCAGCTGCCTCCTGCACGCCCCCTACTGGGGATCAAGCCCGCAACCTGGGCATGTGCCCTGACCGGGAATCAAACCGGTGACCTCATGGTTCATAGGTCGAGGCTCAACCACTGAGCCATGTGGGCGAGCGGGCCATGTTTCACGGTGGCGGCTGGAGTATTCTTAGCTGCTGGCAGGTATGCTCTCTAATAGTTGCTGAGGCCATTGGGCCGAATGCACCCAGCGATTCCATGGGCTCTGGGATAGGATCTCAAATGGAACTGAGTCCCCAGCGCCCTCCTGCTGGGGAACCTGCCTTTGTTTCCCTTCAAGCGGCCGCCAGGGACACCCCCCCCGCAGGGCAGGCGCCAGGGAAACAGCACCGGATCGGGTTTGTGGTGGGTCCCCGCTGCCGTCCTGGCGGGGTCCTGGCTGCCACCCCGGCCTCCGCCAGCCAGCGGGCCGGCACGTTCATACCCACCCCTTCTCCCCCCCGCAGGGAGCCACCCTCTGGACACCCCGCACCGTCCGCACGAGCTGCCTCCGGGACTCTCAAAAAACCTCAGTGAGTGTCCCTTGACCTTTCCCTGGGGACTGGCGGGCAGGACGTTGTCTGGGGTCTTGGCAGAGAAATGACCCCCGATGAGCCCACCGAGAGCCGCTTCCTGCTGGACGCGGGCAGCAGAGGGATGGAGGGGGACGCGAAAGCCTCTCCCTCGCAGGAGCCTGGACTCTGC